GTCCACACGTGCTCGTCGTCCCCGAGGGCAGAACAAGAAAAAACAGCACAAACATAAACTGTCCGAGGTCCGCGCGGATTTCTTGGATCGGCGCTAGGCCCCCCTCCCTGGCGCGCGCGGAGCGCGCCAGGGGCGGCGCCACCAAGGGGCCCCAGCACGGATCCCAGAAGCCCGCGCCGACCTCCGAAAGTCTATGTCCATGCTGCTGTTTTTTCTCGCTCGAGATGAGGTCGCGCTTCGGGTCGGCGCTGAGCGTGGTCGTGCCAGTCCCGCGCAGGCCGAAGAAGAGGGAGACGTCGTTCTCGGGCCCGATGTTGGCGGACGCGTGCGGGGGCGGGGCGCGCTCCGCGGGCGGGAGAGCTCGCCTCGGCTGCAGCGGCATCAGGCAGTTCACGACTGTGAAGACGCCCTTCTGCAGCTCCCCCGCGTACTGAGTCCCCAAGATCACCATCTCCTTGCGCTTGAACGAAACGGCGACGGAGGTGGAGGAGGTCATGCCCTCCGTGCGGCGGTTCGCGGGGAGGACGCCAGCGTTGTGGATCACAAAGGGGTCCTTGAACTCTTCTGCGAGCTCCTCCTTCGTCGGCGGCACGAGCATGTTCTGCATGAAGAGGGCGTGGTATGCCCGAGTGGTGATCACGCGCACTGGCACCCTGTAATCCTTGTCCCAGCCGCCGAAGCCGTCGATCACGTACAGGCGCTCGCGGGTGTTCAGGTAATCGACAGCGCGCTCACGGTTGGTCAGGAAAGCGTCCTCTGGCAACTCGATGTTCACCTTGCCCCACCACACGTCGTCCTTCGAGTCCTCCTCCACGACCACGCGCTTGTCCATCGGCGACCGGCCAGTCTTGACGCCGCTACGCACCGCCAGCGCCCCAGAGGACACGATGCAGCTGCCGGGCTCGTGCGCGAGGGCCTGCTGATACAGCACGCCTGCCGGCGAGTTGTAGTAGATCTCCTCGACGTCGAGCCTGAGCTTGTTGACCTCGCCCATCACCTTCAGGGCCTCGTCGCGGTTGACGGGGTCGGCCCACGGGTAGTTCTGAACCTCGTCCTTGCTCCAGCCCTGGATCTCCGCCTGGCGCAGGTGGCTCATCAGCTCGGCGCGGACCCTGTCCTGCTTGGTGACGGATGCTCCGTGGCGCCGGTCGAGGCGCCTCGGCGTGGCGGCCACCCGATTCAGCAGCCCTGCAGAAACGAACCCCCTCGCCAGAGAGGCACAGCGCAGCGTGGCCGTGCTGCTGCCCACCATACGAGACAGCATGGCGGCCGCGTTCGCCTCCCCCGCGCGACCTGGGCAAGCGGGCAGCACACTCCTGAACCAGGAAACGGGGCAAGAAAATGGCTTGAGTCCAAAATGGCTAGGGAGGGAAGCGAAGGAGGGAGGAGAGGGAGAGAAGGAGGAGCAGGAGGAGGAGAGGGAGAGAAGGAGGAGGAGGAGGAGGAGGAGGAGGAGGAGGAGGAGGAGGAGGAGGAGGGGGGGAGGAGGAGGAGGAGGAGGAGAACCGGAGTAAACCCAAGATGCATCAGCGATGCTGCAAAGCACCCTCCCGTCCAAAGGCTCCTCCTCACACGTCCCTACAAGAATGTCTTTTTACTGCAAGAAGCGCTCCCCTTGAAAGACCAGCGCATTTTGGCCTGCCAATTTGGACAAGACCCCGCTTGGAAAAGGAACTACCTTGCATCCTTTTGGCGCGTAATCAGGAATGTTGAAGCCATCATCATACAATTGAGCGATCTGTCCAGCGATATCCTCGCTTCGAAGAAGGACCGCCCTCATATCCGTATAACTGCTGCACAAGTTTACGCTGGTGGTCATTAGCTCCGACGAAGTCTCAACCGAGAGCTCCATTCTGAAGGAGAAGAAGAAGAGCCGCCCTGCATCAGTGCAGTGCTACACGTGTTGAAGCTCTGGGCCTTTCAACTTACAGAAATTTCTAGCGAGAATCCAACTTCGAACAAAAAAACACTCCACCATTCTTCTCACTATAGCGTGAAAACGAAACTGCGCGGCTCTGAGGCGAAAGCCACAATTTGAAGCTGTGGCAAGGTTTTGGGACGAAATCGCGCGGCAATAGTGCGAGAGCCACATGTTGCAAAGTGACCGCCTTGCATCCCTGGAATGTGCAAAGTTTTGAGACGAATGTGCGCGGCGCTGCAAATCCTCCACCCTCCATCCTTGAAACCGCTGCAAACTTCAACCAAATGTGCGCAGCGCTACGGCAAGAGCCCCGTTTTGAGAAGGAGTCACCCTCTCCTCGTCCTCCTCCTCCTCCTTCTTCTCCTCCTCCTCCTCCTCCTCGGTCCTCCTCCTCCTCCTCTTCCTCCTCCTCCTCCTCCTCCTCCTCCTCATCATCATCATCATCATCATCATCATCAGCATCATCCTCATCCTCATCCTTGAAACCGTTGCAACTCTCAGGCTTCAAGATCAGAACCGGTGAGCAAGCCTCGGGCGACGCGCCGGGCCCGCCCTACCGACACGTCGGGGGGTGCGACGGGGAGAGGTCATGTTCAAGGAAAGGGGATAGGGAGGGGGGGGGGAGGAGGAGGAGGAGGAGGGGGAGGAGGAGGAGGAGGAGGAGGAGGAGGAGGAGGACGGAGGGAGAGGCGGAGGAGGAGGAGGACGAGAAGGAGAGAAGAAGGAGGAGGAGAAGGAGGAGGGGGAACGGGAGGAAGGAGAAGGAGGAAGGAGGAAGGAAGAAGGAGGAGGAGGACGGAGTCGGAGGAAGTATTTGAGGAGGTCCGTGCAAGGAAAGGGGAGCGCGGAGGTCATGTAAAGGAAAGGGGATAGAGGGCGGAGGAGGGGGAGGAGGACGACTGAGGAGGAGGATGATGGAGGATCGAGGAGGTGGACTGTAGGAAAAGGAGGAGGAGATGGGAAGGAGGAGGAGGAGGAGGAGGAGGAGAAGGACGAGGCGGAGGAGGAGGAGGAGAAGGAGAGTAGGAGGAGTGAGAAGGAGGAGGAGGAGGAGGAAGGAGAAGAGGAAGGAGGATTAAGCAAGGAGGAAGGAGGACGGAGGAAGGAGGAAGGATTGAGGAGGTCATGTACAAGGAAAGGGGAGACGGGAGGTCATGTACAAGGAAAGGGGATAGGGAGGGCGGAGGAGGAGGAGGAGGAGGATTGAGGAGTGAGATCGAGGAGGTGGACTGAGGAAAAGGAGGAGGAGGTGGAGAAAGAGAAAACAGCAGCAGCGTCAGGAGCAGGAGCGCTGGGCTCCCAAGGGGGGAGCTGCCTCCGCGCGGCGGTCCGGAGGGGGGGCCTCCCGACTTCCAGCGCACGGTGCCGCGGCACCCTCCGACTCCCGTGAGCCCGTGTCCGGGGATCGAGCAGCTGCACGGGTCCGCCTCCGGCCGTCCGGAGGAAGGAGGACGGAGGCAGGAGGACGGAGGCAGGAGGACGGAGGAAGGAGGACGGAGGAAGGAGGAAGGATTGAGGAGGTCATGTACAAGGAAAGGGGAGACGGGAGGTCATGTACAAGGAAAGGGGAAGGAGCAGCTGCACGGGTCCGCCTTCGGCCGTCCGGAGGAAGGAGGACGGAGGCAGGAGGACGGAGGAAGGAGGACGGAGGAAGGAGGAAGGAGGAACGCACCGGTGTCCTCGGACCGAGGGCGGAGGCCGTCCAGAGGAAGGAGGACGGAGGAAGGAGGAAGGACTGCGCCTCGTTCCTGTGCGGCGTCGATGACTTTCGGGAAGCTTGTCGGCGCCAGTGTGCGCTTGCCTGCCGAGGCTCTTCCACGCGACGCAGGCAGCGCAACGAGGGCAGACACGGGCTGCGCGCCGTCGGCGGAGCCGGATGCAGTAACACACACGCCTGGGCCAACACACGTCCTGAGGATCCTCGACAGCCTTCGGGTGTTGCTGCAGTGAGGGCATTGTGTAAGAAGCCATTCGGATAAAGCATCCAGGGTCTGGGAGCCAGCGGAACACCAATTGAGGCTCCGCCCTGGATGGCATCGCTGCCCTCATCGATCAAGAATCCTCCAGGGTCTGAAGCCTCCTGGGCACATTTCCTTCACGAACGCCCCCACCGTAGGAGTGGTCCCGGCCCAAGGAGTCCACAGCTTCTCGCACCACTTCGGAGCCCCCTGGGGCCCCTTGGGCCTCGTGGGGGGTGCCCTGGAGGCAGTGAAGGGCCTCCTTGGAAATTCTGGGGACACCCTTGGCCAGGGACACTCCTGGCAACTTTTTTGATTCGCGGGTCGAGAGCGAGCCTCTTCTGGTCGAAGCTAAGCGGGCCGCGCACAGCTGCAATTACAGAGGAAGGGAAAAAGAAGGCGGGGCCTCGCGTCAAGAGGCCAGGAGAAGGCAAAGCCCCGGGATCAGGCGGTGCAGAAAGCGACGTGCATGCAGCACTCCTGGCAACACCCGATGCCTGGAACACCCACAGGGCTGGCCGAAGCTGCACTTGACTGTGCGCGTGCTGCTGCTGTCTTTGATCCCGTGGTCTGCCTTGAAATGCCGTCACCCTGGGTGGTGCCCTGCTACGTGCCACGCCTGGTGCGTCGGCCCTGCTCCTCCGCTGACGGAAACGACGACGACGACGACGACGACGACGACGACGATGACGACGACGCTGCATTGCCTCCATCTGTTGCCCCAAGACGGCCCAGGGGTGTTACAAGACGGCCGAGGAGGCGCTCAAGAGGGCCCAAGGGGGCCACAAGAGGGCCCGAGATGCCCCCAAGAGGGTCCAAGAGACCCCCAACAAGGCCACGAGCGGGGCCCAAGAGGGGGGGAGTCGACCTGGCCTTGACATGTGTTTGCTACAGGATTTCCCCCAAGACCCCCAGCATGCTCCCGAGAGGCCCCGAAGAGGCCCCGAAGAGGCCCCCCGAGACGCCCCCGAGAGGCATAATTACCCCCAACAGACTTCCGGCTGCGCTGCTGCGCCGGCGAAGCGACGGGGTTTGCCGCAGGCAGCTGGGTATCATGATCGAGCTTGTCTATTTTCCCGCCTCGCGCAACGTTGCTCTCCCTGCGCTCTCACTGCGAGACGTCACTTTGCAGCTGTTCGCGCTCGCTTCAACGCTTCCTCGAACTGGTTTGAGCGTCTGCGCCAGTCCCTACAGCCGCCGCCCCAGCCGTTTATGAACCTCTCGAAGTCAGCCTCTGCGATTGGAAGGAGTGCTCTCCATTCAGCTTCAAGCTCTGGGCCTCCATCGAGCACGCGGAAGTACTCATCAATCAGGGGGTCAGAAGGAGATAAACCCAACCCGAATCCATACGTGAGGTCGACGATCCCAGGACCCCAACCAGTGTACTGAAAGTCCACGGCTGCGCACGCATCCCCTTTCGATGAGAAGCACATGTTGCACGACTTTGGATCACCATGCAATAGGGTCTGGTAAGTTGCGCCGCGCAACAATCTGTCGAAATCTTCCGCGTGGATGCGCAGAGGATCGTCCTCGGCTAGATTGGCGAGCTCCTCCGGGCGGGTCGCGAGGTGGTGGGTTCCGCCACAGCTCCACAATCCTCCGTCATCGGTTCCCTCCGGTCTTCCATCAGGGCTTGCGGGCAGCAGGAACGTCTTGTGAAACCCAGCCAACCAATGAATCATCGCTGATGTCGAACCACGCCCCCCTGCAAAGCCTGATGCATCCATATCCTCCAACACCATCAAAGTCTCGCCTGGCACCGCGTTGCTCGAGGCAAGCAAGCGAGGAACACGCGCAACAGCAGGGTCCAATTTCGGAGCGTACTTTTCATAGAAACGTTGCTCGACTTCGTATGACTTGACTTTCCTGTCGTGTCCGATGTCCATGCCAGGAGTTCTTTTCGGCGGTTTCACTTGCTTCACAACCACGGATTCCACTTCACAGTCCGAGAGCTTGACGCGCAAAACCTTCCCATAACCACCCCACAGAGACTGAATCACACTCGTACTCTGTGGAACAGCGCCTGGATATGCGGAGCGGATCGCATCGTACACGCTATCTTGCGAAGAAGCCATGACTGTACGCGTGTATATGAGAGGCAGCCACAGAAGCGGGCACTCGGAAGGCACACACTTGATCAGACATGGCTGTACCATCAATGCCGGACATGTTTTGTACGCATTGGAAGTATATGGTGCTCTTTTCTTGTATTTTGCAAATTGCGACATTATACTATTAAGCATGATCGGACAAGAGCGGGAAGCGCCGCTTTCGTCCAATGGCCGTATTGGGTGAAGAAGCAGAAGAAAAGGAAGGCGAGGGCGGCGAGGAGGTCGTGACAAGGACGACGTGGAGAACGTGAGGATTGCGAGGAGGAGCATGATGACAACGAGGAGGAAGAGAAGCACAAGGACAAGGACGAAGAGAACGAGGGCGAGTACGAGGATGAATGCGGAGGACGATGACGACGACGACGACGACGACGACGACGACGACGACGACGACGACGACGACGACGACGACGACGACGGAGGACAGTAAGAGGCAATTGGAGAAGGATGTTGAATCAGGAGAAGGTCCTGGTGACCCTATAGGGCTATCCTGGGGGCTCCTGGCGCCGCGCGGGGTTGTCTTGGGGCCTGTTGGGGGTTTCTTGGGGGCCTACTGGGTCCTCTGGTGGGCTTCTGGGGTCTTCTTGGTCCGTCTGGGCGCGTCGTGGGGTCTTTTGGGAGTTTTCTTGGGCCTTCTCGGCGCCATCTTGGGCCGTTTTTGGGTCTTTCTTGGGCCGTTTGGGGGCCTCCTAGGGCGCTCCCGGGAATCTCTTGGGGCCCTCTTGGCCTGTCTTCAGCCGTCTTGGGGTTCTTGTGAGCTGTCTGAGTGCTTCCTGGAGCGCTCTTGGGGGTCTTTTGGAGTCCTCTTGGGGCGCTCTTAGGCGCCCTTGAGGCCCTCCAGGGCGTCTTTTGGTCCTCCTTTGGGCCGATCGAAAGCCCTCCGGAGGCGATTCTGAGACGATGTCGATTCGGAGTCTCGAGCGGAGCGGCCAGTTTTCAAAGCTTTTCTTGACATGAACGGGAAGCGCGTGAAAAGGAAGAGTTGCGCAAGAACTTGCAGCATCATCGCGAACGCTCACAAGGGATCTATGTCAGGTCGGTTTACGTTCCGCACGATTTCATACGAGGCGCACCTCCCGCTGGCGCATCTCGGCACGATCCGTCTCCGAACACGCAACCTCCCCACTCGCAAACCCCTTTATGTCATTGCTTTCCGCGCGAATTCAGAAGAGGCGCGCCTCTCACTGATGCATTTCGGCACTATCCGTCTCCAGACCCCACCCCACCCCACTCGAGCCCCCTCATGTTAATTCGAATATATATATATATCTTATATATATATATATATATATATATATATATTTCCCGCGCGAGTTCAGAACAGGCGCACCCCCACTAGCGCATCTCGGCACTCGCGTTCCCCTATGTCTGGTCGGGCCTACTTTCCGCACGAGTTTAAACGAGACGCACCCCCCGTTGGCACATCTCGACATCATCCGTCTCCAGACCCCCAACCTCCCCACTCGCGTTCCCCAAATCGACTTTGCCTTCCGCGCGAGTTCAGAAGAGGCGCACCCCCCGCTGGCGCATCTCGGCACGATCCGTGTCCAGGCCTCCCAATCTCCCCACTCGCGTTCCTTATATGTCAGGTCGAGCTTACTTTCCGCACGACTTCAGACGAAGCGCACCCCGCTGGCGCATCTCGGCATAATCCGAGTCCAGACCCCCCACCTCCCCACTCGCGTTCCCCCATGTCAGATGGAGCTTACATTCCGCACGGGATTAGAAGAGACGCACCCCCCGCTGGCGCATCTCGGCATCATCCGTCTCCAGACCCCGAACCTCCCCACTCGCGCCCCCACATGCCAGGTCGAGTTTACTTCCCGCACGAATTCAGACGAGGCGCACGTCCCGCTGGCGCATCTCGGCATTATCCATCTCCAAACCAGCACCGCCCCCCCCCAGGCGTTCCCCTGTGCCAGGTCGAGCTTCCTTTTTCGCGCGAATTCAGACGAGGCGCACATCCCGCTGGCGCATCTACGATGACGACGACGACGACGACGATGACGACGGCAACGACGACGGCAATGATGACGACGACGACGACGACGACGACGACGATGACGACGACATCGACGACGACGACAATGACGAGAGGGAGGACGACGACAACGACGATGACGATGAGAATGGCAACGACAACGACGACAAAGACGACGACGGCGACGCAAACGTTGATAATGTATCTAGCGAAACGCATACATTTGATCGGAATGGTTGAGGGAAACAGCGTGTTTGTCTTAATGTATTGCCTTTTGGGCCGTTTTGGGGGTCCTCCAAAGAACGCTTCCAATAGATGTCGTAAGAAAGCCCATGGCACATCGCATGTTTGGGGGGATGACCCAGGCGGGAGCCTCAGCTTGGAGAACACGACGAATTCGCAAACTTCCTGGACATTGCCCGTTGTTCGAAGATGTATCGGGCGAGAGCGACATGTTTAGCATAAGAGGTCTAATCACAGTTCCTTCGGCATCTATGTTTCTCGAGGATGCCCCAGGCGAACGCCCATGTTCAGAGATCGGCGAATTTCGAGAGCTCCATTGCTCGAGGATGTCTACATCGAGAGCTTCATGTTTCACATAAAACGCCCTAAAATAAATCCTCGGAAAACTCCACGTTGCGAGGATGTCTCAGGCGAAATGACCATTTGGGGGAATCAGGGTTCCGCCACGGAGCGACCCCGAGACCTTCCCCTCCTGCACCACCCCCCACTCAAAACATAGTTGCCCTCCGGGCCGAAACTAACGTCCATCACGCGACTCTTCGACTCTCAGCGCGCTTCCTGTCATCTGCCAGCGAGTTCCCAAGTGCAGCGCGGCACCATTACCAATGACAAGTGAACTTAACTCATAAAAGCTGTCCACGCCAGAGGCGTTTTTTTTTTTGAAGACGCAACCCCGATCTAGAGGTCTCGCGAGCCCTCGACAAGGCCTGCCCATTTTGGGGTGACCCGCGCACATTTGCATCTAGGATACATCATGCGTGGCTACCACCCTTTGGTGGCGGGAACACACGACTGGCCATGGCCCTCTGGCCACGAGACAGGCGGCACGCCGTTGCAGCCGAAGTGGAAAACAAGTAGAGAGGGAGAGCAGAAGGCAGGCGAAAGTGACACGCATGGAAGGCAGACCGCCCTTCCCAGCAGAGCAAAGGTTGCAACGTCATGCACCACAATGCGAATACACAAGAACAAGAGACGACTGGGAACACGGAAAGTGCAACAGGGCGAGCATGGTAACCCGGCCGGGCCAAACTCAAAGTCAACAGACACTTGCTCTGATACTCCTGTTGCGACACGTACAAGACGGCGACGAAGGACCAGCTACGGGACCCAGTTGAGACAAAGATGTAGACGCAAGGATGTACCACCAAGATTGAAAATCACAAAACTGTAAACCCATACTGCTCCTGACTCAACAACTGTAATGGTGAGGCACGAGGACAAGGAACTTGTGTGAGATCCAGCTGCAACGGTTCGCCACTGCACCCCAACGTGTTAGGCGGTCGCCCCAATACCCCGCCCGCCCTCTGGCGAGCGCGGCGCGGTAGGTTCCGTAGGATGTGCCCAGGCGTTGCACTGGCTCGCCCCCGTCGTAGTCGTCGTTGGAAGGCATGGGGCTCCACGGTGGTCGTGCCGCCACCGAACGCTCGGCCCTCCAGCGTGGTTCAATTCGGCGCGCGATGGCGCACAGAAACAAGAGAAACGAAACATGTCCTGCCATCGATCTGCAATCATGCTGCGCGGGGGCTTGCGACCCCAAGGACACGAAGAAGATCGCCATAGTCGCTCGAGCCAGGGCCTTCCAGAGGCGCTTCCCGTCATCCGCCACCGTGCCGCTTGGCACGCAGCGGACGTGTCATCAGGTAATTTAAACATGAATCCTCGATCCTAAAGTTTGAGGGCCCGGACCCGCGTCGGCTGCGCTGAACGCCGCCCCGCTAATTCGTTTCACTACAGTCGCGCCGACATTGCTTGTTTCGCCCCCATTGCCAGAGCTCCGCTCCGCGAATTGGCTTCGAACAGAAAGACTGCGATTGCTTCGCTCACATTGGCGGAACGCCGCTCCGCAAATCAACCTCAAGCCGAAAGATTACGACTGTTTCGCTCCCATTAGCGGAGCACTGCTCCGCAAATTTGCCTCCAACCAAAACGTAACGAGTGCGTCGCTCTTATTAGAGGAACAGCGCCCCACGAGTCGGCTTCGAACTAGGAGGTCACGAAAGCTTCGCTCCCATTACCAAAGCGGGGCTTCGCTAATTGGCCTCGAACCAAGGGGTAGCGATTGCTGCGCTCCCATCAGCGAGGCGCCGCCCCTCTCTAATCGGCCTCCAACTCAAGGATTGAAAGCTGCTTCACTCCCATTAGCGGGGCGCCTCTCCGCTAATCGTCCTCAAGCAAGGGGATTGGCAGATAGACTCGGAGCGCAGCTTCGACAATTGGACTAAACCAAGCGTTTACAAATGCTTCGCTCCCACTAGCGGAGCATGTTTCGCGAATTTGCTTCAACCCATTAGGGTTCGGAGTGGTTCGCTCTCATTAGCGCAGCGGCGCTCCGCTAAGTGGCCTAAACTCAGGCGGTCACAAAAGGGGATTACGATTGTTTCGCTCTCATTAGCGGAGCGCCGCGCCGCTAATTGAGTCCAACCCGAGAAATTACGATTGTTTCTCTCGCATAAGCGGAGCGCCGCTCCGCTAAGTGGCTTCGAATCAAGCACTGCCAATCCCATTGTTTGACACCAATTAGCGGAGCAATCCTCCGCTAATGGGAGCGAAGCATTGTTAATTCCTTGGCGGATGGCAAATTAGCGGAGCGCCGCTTCGCTAATGAGAATGAAGCAAGCTCGGTGCACATGGTTTGAAGCCAAGAGGCCCTAACACTGCCCCCAAGAGGCTCCCGAGAACGCTCCGAAGAGACTCCAAGAAGCATCCGAGGGAACTCTGACCCGCAACCCAAGCACGGTGGCTGGATGGGCCGAAGAATTTCGCGTATATGCATACAACGGTACTGCATCGTAGGGCGGCATGGGGGATCTTGATGGAAGACGAGTGCGGATTCTCTCTGCACCCCCTCCCAGAGGCTTGCTCGTAATATTTGTCCAGCTGTCCCCCAAATTGCAAAAAAAACAACAACAAAAAACGTCATCAGGGAAACCTGCCGTCAGACTGAGTCGGGATGCATGTGATGTTGTGTTTGTGTGGCCCCAGACCCCTCGCGCCGACCCCAGCGGGGGTACAGCCCATCGACACCGAGGGAGGCCACCAGGGACCATTCTCCGCATTGGGAGCATGGGTCTGGAATGATTACCTCTTGGCCTCACCCAATCCCAGGGAATGCAATAAGGGACCACTCTCCTGCCCACCTCTCCCGCCAGCCTTCCTGTCCCCTGCCCCCCCCCCCCCCACTCCAGCAACGCCTTGGCACAAAACTTCCTGCGTGCTCGACTCGGATTAAGAACGCGCAGAAGACGTTTGGACACTTCATTCCGACCCCCGTATCTTTATAAGAAGTGGGAGTCCAACTCCTCTGGAAGAGACGGGGGTTGGAATGAAGTATACCGATATCCTCCACACGCTCCTAAGCCAAACGGAGCTCGTAATAGGGTGGTCGACTAGCAGAATGTAGAGGACACCGAAAAAAACGGATCGGATTAAGTGTCAAAGTGTAGCTGTAGAATCCTCAAAATATGGCCACAGAAACAATGGCCTTCGACAATGTGTGTATGGCAAAACTTCTCTGCATTTGAACTTCCGTGTATCATGTTCCTCGACGTCACCATGTGCGACGATCAAGCCTCCTTAGTTCCTCATTACTACAGAACCCCGTATGCCTCCTTAGCGCCTTCTTAGCACCAGATACCGTATGCCTCCTTAGTTTGGGGCGTTGGCTGATGGATTTGCCGGGAAGGTGACGGAGTCCGCCACCAGCACTAACCGCATGACCCGCCGCCGTCGCCGACAAGTCTTCCTCCTACTCCTTCTCCTTCTCCTCCTTCTTCTCCTCCTCACTCCTCACTCCTCACTAGTCACTCAACTCATCACACCCCTCCTCACTCATCACCCCTCACTCCTCACTCCTCTCTCAGCGCACCACTACTCGCTCCCCGTCGCTCCGCACTCATCACTCACCGCTCCTCCTCCTCCTCCTCCTCCTCCTCCTCCTCCTCCTCCTCCTCCTCCTCCTCCTCCTCCCTCCTCCTCCTCCTCCTCTTCCTCCTCCTCCTCCTCCTCCTCCTCCTCCTCGTATTCCTTCTCCTCCTCCCCCGCGCTCACAGACGTCGTCGAGCCCAGGCGGTCCTCCAACGCCTCTGCGAAGGGCGCCTCGGTGCCAGGGCGGCGGACGTCATCCACGTCCGTGTTCAGAATCCCCATTCCTGGGGCGCGCGGGGCCGGGAGGACCTCCTTCGCTCAAAGTGTCGGCGGCAACTTCTGACCTTGGCCTTGGGCGGGTAGGCCTTCCAGCTTGCCCGGTTGCTCGTGGCGAAAAGCTTCGAAGCGCAGCCCTGGCCGCTGAGGGAGGCAGCCACGCCGCTCTGCCTGCCCGCGGCCAGAGGCCGCGAAGCACCGTGTTGGCCGCGGGTGGGCAGGCCGTCCACCTCTCCTTGACGGCAGCTTCGCGTCGTGACGACCCATTCCCTCCTCCTCCTCCTCCTCTCCCTCTCACGCCTCTCCTCTCCTCCTCTCCTCTCCTCCTCCCATCCTTGTATTGCCTAGATGGTTGGGATACTTGGCTTCCTATCCTGCCCCTCATCTTCCTCCTCCTCCTCCTCCTCCTCCGCCTCCTCCGTGTTCGCTCCAAATCGGGCCCGGGGGCCCTGACAGAGCGACCCGGCTCGAAAAATGACGCAGAACGATGGGGTCGGGGGCTCCTGTCGCGATTTGCTGAGATGCTGTAATTTTGGTGCAATGTCGGATCTAAGGGTTCCGAAGCCGTGTGGATCGTTTGACCTTGAACGATCTCGGCTTCCCAATGGCGCGGATCGCTCGATGTTGGCAGATTCCAGGCCACTGTACGCGTTCAACCTTGCACGCCCGCGCCGGGGTCGCCGCCGCGTCGACACGACACGAAACTTCGGTACACGGAAAGGCCACATCTGGCCAACGCCTCGAGTAGCGCGGGGTGTCTGCGCCCAGCCGCCAACCCCCCTGGACTTGTCCGCGACGGCGAGGAAGAGGCAGGGCACTGCAGCACCCGCCCGCTGGCGCAACAGGCCTTCCCAGCCCGCTCGCCTCCCCTGCCCCGATTCAGGGAGACTGCAGGGGAGGGCCCGAAGAGCCTTCCAGAAGGACCTGTCGGGCGCGCTCTAACAGAGAGCGCCGTGACGAGCCCCTCCACCTGCATCCGCTCCCTCCTCCCTCATCCCCCCTCCCTCCTCGTCGCCCTCACTCCTCACCCCTCCTCCACCGAGGTCATCCTCCCCTCTCTGCCTCCAGATGAGAAGGGAGGAGAGAGGAGGAAGGAGGGAGAAGTGATGAGAGATGAGGAGGGAGGAAGAGAAGGGAGAGATGAGGAGGGAGAAAGGAGGAGAGGGGAGGAGGAGGAGGAGGAGGAGGAGGAGGAGGAGGAGGAGGAGGAGGAGAACGAGGGGAAAGCTCGAGGAGAGAGGAGAGAGGAGAGAGAGGAGGAAGGAAACATGAGGATTAAGGAAGAGGGCGAAATGAGGAGGGAGGAGGGAGGAAGAAGAGGATCGACGAGGACCGAGGATAAAGGATCGAGGAGGGAGCAGAGATGAGATGGAGGCCCCCCAGGATGGGGCGCCCGTTCGCTCCCTCGAAGCAGCGCTCGAGCGCCCGATAGTCGCCGGACAGCAGGTTGAGGATGGCGGAGGCCATGCTCTCCTCGCAAGAGCTTGGATCACCGCGGGGGGTGCTGAGGTTGTTCTCATCCTCGTCAATCTCGGCCTCTCCTTCGGTGCCTCCTCCTCGTCCTTCTCCTCCTCCTCCAACTCCTCCTCCTCCTCCTCTTCCTCCTCCTCATCTTCTTCTTCCTGTTCCTCCTCCTCCTCCTCCTCATCACCACCACCATCACCACCATCACCACCATCACCATCATCAACATCACCACCACCACTATCATCATCATCATCATCATCATCATCATCACCACCACCACCACCATCATCATCATCATCATCATCATCATCACCAGAATCATCATCATCATCATCATCATCATCATCATCATCATCATCATCATCATCATCATCATCATCATCATCATCATCCTCATCCTCCTCATCATCATCATCATCATCATCATCGGCAGCAGCAGCATCAGCATCAGCATCACCAGCAGCATCATCATCAACATTATCGTCATCATCATACTCATCATCATAGCATCATCATCAGCAGCATCTGCATCATCATCATCATCATCATCATCATCATCATCATCAACATCATCCGCATCATCTCTGTTTCCTCCTCCTCCTCCACCTCTTCACCATCCGCGTAGCCATCATCATCTACAACATCATCAACAGCATCCTCATCATCATCATCATCACCATCAGCATCAATAGCGTCATAATCACCATCGTCATCACCATTACCATCACCATCACAATCGTCATCACCATGATCACCACCATCATTATTATCATCATCTCATTATCAACAACACCATCATCACCGCCATCAGCATCATCACCACCATGATCATCATCATCATCATCATCATCAGCATCGTCAGCATCCTCAGCATCATCATCATCGCCATCAGTGTCATCATCATCATCACCATCATCCTAATCCTCATTATCATCCTCATCATGATCCTCATCATTGTCCTCCTTATCATCAGCATCATAATCATCCCAACCGTCATAATCATCCTCATCCACATACTCATCAGCATCATCATCGACCACATCACCATCGTGAATTACATCATTATAATGTACATAGCTACCTCTACACTTTCAATCATAATCCTATTCCTCTGCATCACCACCACCACCACCATTATCATGATCATAATCATCATCACCATCATCATCAGCAGCATCATCATCATCATTTGCGGTAACAGTAGCATTAGTATCATCATCATCATCATCATCATCATCATCATCATCATCATCATCATCATCATCATCATCATCATCATCATCCTTCTCCCCCTTGTCTCCCTTCTGCCCCTTCTCCTCCTTATCCTCCTTATCCTTCCCTTCCTTCTCGGCCTCCGTCCGCCTCCTCCACCTCCTTTTCCTCCCAGAGGTCCTCCGGAGCTCCCCCCGGAGGTCTCAAGAGGTCACGGGATGTTCCCGGATGCATCCACTTAGATCAACGCAAGTGGGGGGGTCGAGAGCACAGGGGGTGTCACAGGTGGGTCATCGTGAACGGATAGAAAGCGAAGACCATGAACAAGACTGAATGCGGAAACCCCTGTGTCGATCTTGGTCATCCTCCGTCTTGGCCGTTTTCCCCCGTCGACCAGCCACAACTGGGGGAGCTGTGGTCCTTACCCCCCTGGGGGAACCCATCGCGTCGACGATCTCTCGAGAGGGGTGTCGAAATCGATGGGTCCCCCAGAGGGGTAAGGACCACAGCTCCCCAGTTGTGGCTGGCCTGCCTCGTCCCAACATCGTAGAAAATCACGACGGCGGCCATGGATCCCCATCTCTCCGCAGCGACTCTCTCGAGCCGGGTCGATCCGCGGCCCCAGAGAGAGGAGAAGGCATCGGGCGCCGCGGCCGCCCCAAAAAGCGCTCTGTGGAGCGCCCTGAGAACGGTCTGGAGCGGTCTGGAGGGGTGGGGGAGGGGGAGGAGGAGGGGGAGGGAGGGGAGGGGAGGGAGGGGTAGAGGGAGAGGAGGGGGAGGGGGAGGGGGAGGGAGAGGAGGACGAAGGAGGAGGATGGGGATGAGGGGGAGAAGGATGGGCAAGCTAGGTGCGCTCGCGTCATATCTGACATCCTACCCCTCCCTCCCATCCCTTACCATGGCGCAGATCCCCTCTCTACCTGGCGCGATCCACTGTCGGATACGAGCAGGGCGCACAGTCCGAAAGTGCAGGGCAATGATCCCGAAAGGGTACGCGATGCATTGTAGAGCACGGCATGGCAAGGCGTAGAAGAGCACCGCAAAGCGTAGTATGTCACAGCATGGCGTGGCGTGGCGTAGTGAAGAACTGCATCACAAAGCTTTGCAACGCAAAGCATGGCATCGCACAGCGGCCCCGAACATAACATTGCATAGCATGGCGTTGAAGATCAAAGCGTAGCATGGCATAGCACGACGTGGCACTTAAGCACTGCACATCACAGCTTCAGCTGAAGGCATGGCATCGCGCAGCGGAACGCAACCTAGCATTGCATTGCATGCCGTGGCATGGCACGGGAAATGACGCCAGCGCTGCAGCGGGAGCACGAGTCGAAACGAGCGGAAGCGCGGAAGTGAGGCCAGCGCTGCAGCGGGAGCACGATTCGGAACGAGCGGAAGCACGGAAATGAGGCCAGCGCTGCAGCGAGAGCACGATTCGGAACGAGCGGGGCCCGAAATGAGGCCGGCGCTTCAGCGAGAGCAGCATTTTGGAAAAATTGCAGGCGAAAGCCTAACTCCTGTTGCTAGTTACCTCTGTTGTAAAAAAACAACAGAGCGCGGGGGGGGGGGGGGGGGGGGGCGAACACTCCCAACCCGTCATCATGGGAAGGAGGAGAGTAGTATTCATATTGAGTAATTGTGGAGGATGATAAGGGATGAAGGGGAGAGGGATGGGGGAGGGAGAGGAGGATGAGGAGGATGAGGGGGAGAGGAGGGGAGGGGAGGAGAGGCTCCTGATGTACGGGCGTCATCTGGGCCATTAGCCCGAAATCGATCAGCCCCAGGCGGCCGTCGTCCAGCAGCATCATGTTGCCCTGCGCGAGGAGCACGAGGAGGACAAGAAGGAGGAAGAGGAGGAGTAGGAGGAGGGCGAGGAGGAAACGACGAGGGCGGACTCAACGAGTAGTATGGCCACACTGGCCCCCAACTTTTTACGGGAGAGCGTGTCACGGAGGCCGCGCTGAGGGACCGCGCACCCCCTGTGACACTCCTGCCACGCCGCCCTGCGAGCGTGTCACGGATAGAGGCCGCGCTGAGGGACCACCCCCTGCGCACCCCCGCTGGCGTCGAGAAGATGCCGCGCCTGCCGCCCTCCGAGCGTGTCACGGATACTGGCCGCTCCGAGGGACCACCCTCTGCGCGCCCATCCGCTGTGGTGTCGAGAAAGTGCCCCTCCTGCAACGCCCTGCGAGCGTGTCACGGATAGAGGCCGCGCTGACGGACCACCCTCTGCACAACCTCATGTGGTTTCGAGAAAGTGCCGCGCCAGTCACACCCAGCGAGCGTGTTACGGATAGAGGCCGCGCTGAGAGACCCTCCTCTGCGCAACCCCCTGTGGTGTCGAGAAGCTGCCACGCCTGTCCCGCCCTGCGAATCCTACGCATCTGCGTTGTTTGGAGCGCGTGTCAGGTGGGTGACTCGGTCTGCGTCTGCATATGCTGTGTACGTGCATGATGCGTACGTATGCGATTGTATGTGGCCGTGCGGCTCATGTCAATGCCGCGTATGTGTATTGGCCGTGTGTGTCGTGTCAATGCCGCGTTTGCGTTGCATGCGTTTGGTATGTATGATGCACTGAATACACCAAGTGCATACTGGCGTTGTATGGTGTGTGCGCGGCTTTAGGTGCGTGCCTGTCTGGTGCGTGTGTATGCGTGTGTGCGGGTATGTACGTGATGTGTGTATGTGCCTTTGTGTGCGCGTCGGGTCGCCTGCTCGTTTGCGCATGATGCGCGCGCGAGCGCAAGTGAGAAGGAGAGGGAGAAGGGGAAGATGAGGTGTGTGATATTCGCGGGTGGGACGCGGGTGGGAAGAACACAAATACCCAACTAAACATGTGGGGAAAACGATACGCGATGTGCACCAAAAGCTGAATCATGCGCGGGCGCCCCGCAACCGGTTTGCATTGATTCTTGGCAGGGACGGCGGAAGGGCCAGCATATTGCCTCCTGTGTGCAAGCCCACCATCCCTGTCAAAAACAAATGCAACATGATTCCGCGTGTATACACACAAACACAATTCACAATGCTGGCAGACCCGCCGTGACTGCCCATTGGCTTTTGACAGAGATGGTGGCACACTGCCCAATGTGGTGCATCTGGCGCTCGAGGCGCAGCTGGCATGTGCGGCGCACCTCGCGGCGTCACGCACCTGGCTGGCGGCTGCACTGGTTCCCGACGGTTGTCGATGGTCGCCCCCACCTATGCTGAGACTCAGGTGCTACTTATGTCATGGGAGGGCGGGTGGGAGCGAGCGAGACAGCTTGCGGCGTTGAGGCCGGGAATGTGACCCCTCCCCCCATACCCCCCCCTCCCCTTGGACTGGACTGGAGGGTTCGCGACCCACATTGAGCGTCCAAGAAGGAGGCCATTCGGCGAGAATTCACAACACTGAAGTTACAACAGATTTTGGGACCATGTTGGCCTCTGGGGGGGGGGGCTGGGACCCTAATTGAGCCCCCCCCCGTCGTTTGATCGATTTCTTCCAAGATGACCCCAACATGGCCCCCAAGGCTTCCAAGCGTGCCCCACGACGGCCCCAAGAGGGCCCCAAAAGGCGCCCAGGAGGCCCCAAGAGGTACCCAACAGACTCCCAAGAGACCCCAAGTGGCCCTAAGAGGCTCTCCCGAGGCAACCAAGACGCTCCACGAGGCCCCTGCGACCGCCAAGAGGGCCCCCAAGATGCCCCGAGTGGACCCACAGAAACTTCCAAGACGCATCCGAAGAGACTCCGAGAGACATCCAAGAGGCCTCTGGATTTTCTGTTCGCCCTATTCCTCCTCCTCCATCCTCCTCCTCCTCCTTCTCCTCCTCCTCCTGCTCCTCCTTCTCCTCCTCCTCCTCCTGTTCCTCCTCCACTTGTTCCTCCTCCTCCTCCTCCTCCTCCTCCTCTCCTTCCTCCTCCTCATCATCATCAATCATCCTCCTTCCTGTCTCTTTCCTCATGCCGCTTATTTCTCCTCTCTCTCCCTCTTCCCCCCTCTCTCCTTCCCGCTCCCACCCCTCCCCTCCCTCCCCTCATCCTCCTCCTCCTCCTCCTCCTCCTTCTCCTCCCTCCTCCTGCTCCTCCTCCTCCTCCTCCTTCTTCTCCTCCGCCTCCTGCTCCGTCCTCCCCCTCTTAGGGCACGGCGGCTTCCCCAGCCCTTCATTCAGCTGTATGCTCCTCCACATCCCTGATCAGGGCAACTCGCCTGGGCATCGTTCCTGGATGGGCTGGTGGGCTTGGGAGAAGCGTCTAGAATACAATGATTAATATGTCCGCTTGTCGCGCGGAAGACCCGGGCTCCATTCCCCGCGGCGGGGTTCTTAGCCGTGTCTCTCCAGCTGTCCCGGCCCGCCTCGTGGGGGTCGCAGTGCACGAAGCCAGCGCCCATGAGCTGCAGGGACAGGCAGGGCGCCGCCATGCGCACCTCGGCGCTTCGTTTGGGGGGTGGGGCGGGGAGCGGGGGCGACGGTCGCCACATCCCCTTCCCCTCCTCCTCCGACGCGTCCTCCAACTTCTCCTCTTACTCCAATGTGTTCGCCTTCTCCTCCTGATCCTCATGATCCTCCTCGTCCTTATCATACTCCTGACCCTGTTGCTTCTCAGCCTCCCCATCATCCTCCATCTCCTCCTGCTGCTCCAGGTCTTGATCCTCCTCCTTCTCCTCCCCCTCCTCCTCCTCATCCTCCTCCGTCTCATTACCATTTCCCGCGCACCGGAGAACAACCCTCTGCAAATCACTGCCACGTCTAGTCCTCGACCGCAAGGGCTGTCACCGAGACTCCTGGGAGAAGAATCCACCATCAGAGGGCTTGGACAAGGAGGTGAGCCACAGCAAGCGCCAGCGAGGCATGAGTGTTCGGAAGTGCGACGAGGGAGAAGTGGAGGGGAGAGACAGGAAAGCAAAAAAAAGGGGAGGACGAGAAGGAGAAGGGGGAGGAGAAGGAGGAGGAAGAAGAGGAGGAGGATAAGGAGGAGGAGGAGGAAAGGGAAAAGGAAAAGGAAATGGAAAAGAAAAAAGAAACGAAGAGGGAGGAGGGAAAGTATTCAGGGGTGGAGGGATGGGGAGACGAAGAGAGGGGCGGGTACGGGGAGGAAGAAAGGGAAGGAGAAAGGAAGGAGAGAGGTGACCACCACCTAAACAGCGCAGTGAAGCAACGCGGAGGGAAAAGGAATGGGAATCGCCAGAAGCCGACGACTCTTCGACTTGTGACTCCTGAATTTCTCCTCCTCCTCCTCAAACTACTACTACCACCACCACCACAACCACCACCATTACTTATACTTATACTACTACTACTACTACTACTACTACTACTACTACTACTACTACTACTACTACTACTACTACTACTACTACTACTACTACTACTACTACTAGTACTACTACTACTACTACTGACACTAACACTAACACTAACACTAACACTAACACTAACACTAACACTAACACTAACACTAACACTAACACTAACACTAACACTAACAACTAACACTAACACTAACACTAACACTAACACTAACACTACACTATCACTAACACTAACACTAACACTACACTACCACTACTACCACTACTACTACACTACTACTACTACTATACTACTAACTACTACTACTACTGCTGCCTGGACTAGCTACTACTACTACTAATAATTAATAATACTATAGTCCTACTACTACTAACTACTACTTACTCTACACTACTAACTACTACTACTACTACTACTTACTACTAAGTCCTACTCCTAGTCCTACTCCTACTCCTACTAGCTCCTCCTACTACTACTACTACTACTACTACTAACTACTAACTACTACTAACACTACTACTACTACTACTACCACTACTATCACTACTACTACTACTAACTACTACGACTACTACTACTACTACTACTACTACGAACTAATACTGCTAACCACAACTCCTCTTCCGCCTCCTCTCCTCCTCCTCCTCCTCCTCCTCCTCCTCCTCCTCCTTTTCCTCCTGCCTCTTTTCCTCCTCCTCCTCCTCCTCCTCCTTCCCCTTCCTCCTCTCCTCCTCCTCCGTGGGGCGGGCTCTTCCTCCTCCTCCTCCTCCTCCTCTCCTCTTCCTCCGTCCTCCTCCTTCTCATACTGACTGCTGCCACCCGTGTTCCATTTAGCTGCTCCCTCATCCTCCCACTATTCATGTTCCTCCGCCCCCTCCTTTTCCTCCTCCTCCTCCTTCTCTTCCTCCTCCTCCTACTGTTCCTTCACCTCCTCCTCCTCTTCGCCCGCCTCCCTCCTCCTGCCACTTCCTATTCCCCCCCCTGATCCTTCCCCTCCGTCTCGTCCTCCTACCACTTCCTACATCCCCCTCATTGATCAGCATCCTCCTCCTGATTAGCCACTTCCTCCGGCTGCTCCTCCACATCATCATCATCATCATCATCATCAGCATCAGCATCAGCATCATCATCATCATCAGCATCATCATCATCACCATCATCGTCATCATCATCAGCATGATCATGATCATCATCAGCATCATCATCATCAACAACATCATCATCATGATCAACATCATCATCCGCATCATCATCATCATCATCATCATCGTCATCGTCATCGTCATCATCATCATCAGAATCAGCATCACCATCAGCATCATCATCGTCATCATCAGCATCATCATCAGCATCACCAGCATCATCATCATAATCATCATCCGCATCATCAGCAATACCAACATCATCGTCATTACCATCATCGTCATCGTCATCAGATTCAGCATCATCATCATCTTCACCATCATCATCATCAGCATCCTCCTCAGCAGCAGCATCAGCATCAGCATCAGCAGCATCG